TTTGGAATTTTTGACCATTTTTTTTGCCCTTTAGGCTCCGGACTCAATTATTAAAGGTAGATATTGCTAATTCATTTTTAGCAATATAAGCCAATATATTATTACATTGGTATTTATTAGGAAAATATGTCTCATTTCTTATACAGCTGTCAGTAGATCCTTACTTATCCAAGGGAAACAGAATATATTTTTGGAATTGTCTATGTACCAGTTTTGCATTTGTTTTTTATTAATAATGACTGAAATAATTGGAAAAAATTATGAGACATCACCCAACAAAAACGACCCACTTATAAACTGTCAATAGAATAATGAACTTCACGTATGGTCACTGATATTTTTGTTTGTTTGCTTGTTTATTTGATTTTTTTCAAAAAAAATAATATTAATATTTGATTGTGTTTTTAAAAGCTGCATATAACTAGACACCAAGTGGTGTGGTATCTTGGATATTGTGATTTTTTAATATTTTTAATTAGAAATTTCAAATTCAAGTTATAGGAATGAAACTTTTAATTAGAATAATTTTTTCCTTTCATGAGCCGATGTGACACGAATTTAATTAGTTGGGTTAGTGAGTTCTAAACACAAAAATGGTTATATAACAAAAGAAAATTGATAAATAAATACATAGAAAAGCGAGAGTAAATCTTTATCCTCCTAAATTCTTCACATAATTTTATATCATTCAGATCATAAAACAAAGATAATGTAAAATGATGAAATTAAACCAACTTTGTTAAATTCGGACCTAATGTGTGTATAAAAGAAATGAAATAAAATTAAAAGGAACATAATCCACTAATTTAGGTAATATAAATCTGTCAGTTACTGTTATCAATTTGAGTTGTGGTGAGATGGTTGAGATTTGTCCACCTTTATTCAAAATTTTCGAATTCAATTCTTAATAATAAAAAAAATATATATATTAAAAACGTCATTCTCAAAAATGGATCCTGCAGTACATGAATATGTCGATCATCGTTAAGCCAAAAGCTAGATAAGACCAACATTTTACTAGCGGGGGATTCTTCTATATTGTCTCGCTTTGGTGATCACATTGGAATAATCCAAAGTTGTGTCTATTTATTGCATATATTCCACAAAGAAAACGAATCAGGAAAGAGGCCATTGTGTTGCCTAATTTTTGTTTTTTTCTATTTGATTTGTAAAATATTGTAAATAGTGGCAAAGAAAAGGATACCACATATTAATTGAACATATTTTCGAAAGTATTCCATCAAATCACTAGCTTATTGTTCTTGTGAAACATACATCCCCTCCCAATTGTCTTTAACTGACTAATGCAAGAGTACTTCTGAGATGGATATATGTCCTTTTGATAAGGTAAGGTCTCACAACTTCTTATTCGAATTATCGATTATCTGTGTGTAGACATGTTAAATCGTTATAGAACCATTAAGATATTAACTCAGTTATCGATAATTAATCATTATCGATTTTGTCGGTTTAATTGTTAAGATTTGACACAAAAAAATAATTGAAAATCACTTAGAAACAAGGTGACAAACCAAATGAACCATGCACATGAGTTGATATATAGATTACATCTTGCTTCAAAGCAAACACTGGACACTGTAGAATGACAGAAGTTTGAGACATATCCAGAAATAAAAATTATGAAACTATATCCTTAGTCAAGAACTCTATATATCGAATGGTACAAATATTTTTTTTATCAATTTACTATCATGTTGTCATCAGTAAACCCATTAAGAAAAAACCTCGAACCGTTAAGAATCGATAACTTGATAATAAAAAAAATCAAAATCATTACCGAAACCACTAAACCAATAAAAAAAATCAATTTATATTATCAATTCGATTTTGAACGACCCTAAATTATGCTATCTTAGTCAAGACGGTTGAAAAGAAAAATCACATGATATTTTTGTCAGACTTGTAACATGAACTCAATTTACACGGAGATTAGATATTATAATACATTACATTTTTCTTGTCTTTGATTTAATTTCTCAGACACAAAATTTATTGTTACATAAAGTTTTTTTTTTTCGTACCTAATAAAACAGCTAGCACAAATTTAACTGCTCTATTTCATTTGGGTGAGAATGGAATTAATTATTAAGACAGAGACAAACATGGGGTCTCCATTTCTGAAACAAGTGGAAATTATGCTTTCCCTCAAACTTGTAGGACCCTTTAGACTTCATACTATACATCAATATTCTTAAGCAATTCTCGTACAATAGACCCTTATGATTAGATTCTTTTCCGAATCTTATACATAACGAAAGTTTTAGTGCATTCAGCTACCCTGAAGCAATTCCCTCATTTGATGGTAAGGCTACGAAGCTAGATTTGGGAGGGGGGAGGGGGTGAGATGTACTAATACTGAGATTTTTTGCAAAAGATTCACACTGTCAAGTCTACGAGCTTTACCATTGTATCATTTTTCTATACTTTTTCTGTTTATTGCCACTAAGCTCTCCTTTTTGTCTTAGAAAAAACTTAAAACAAACATATTCACTGTTATTTCACAAATAGAATTTAGAAATAGCGAAGTGTAGGTTGATTTTTTTTAAAAAAAAAAAGTTATAAAAGTTGTTCCCGATTGGTCGGTGGATACTCCGCTTAAGAAAAAATATGGTTCAGTTATATATACAGTAAATTTAGTACTCTGTCTTTAATTAATCATATACACCTTAGGTAAAATAAGGTATTACCTTTATTTAGAAAAAAATACTTATATTATATCATAGCTGATTATAAGATAATTACAAATAAATTTTATGATAATTTATAATTGATAGCTTGAAAAAAATGATAATTAACTTGATATAACAAGTTAAATGACACTTATCATAACTTGAATTTTCTTTGGAATTTGATTTCTAAACATCAGTTCACTGTACTAAAAATATTTTTTAGCAGTAATTAATTAACGATAATAGCTAATTATTGCTAAACATATATTTTTAGCGATAATTATTATTTTTTGTAAATGCCTAAAGCCTGTAGCAATATTGAATCTAACAGCAATTAACTAATGTTGATAAAGACTTTAAAGCACTTTTTATTAATGTGTATATTTTTTGCTGCTAAAAACTATTTATATGTAGTGGTTATAGCCTTGTAGGTTTTAATTAAGTTATAAGTGCAATTTGATTGAAGTATATATGAGAATATAAACTAGTTTTAAGTACAAAAATATGGAGTCAAACCATGAGAAGAATTAAAGAGTGGGTGGAAATCTTTGGAACATATCAGATCTTAATAACTCTGTTGATTAGTTATTCAAAAACGTTTCACTTTATTGATGAAGATTTGATTCTCAATCATATAATTTTCTCCCCTAATTGAAAAATCTTTCATCTCATGATTAGAAGTTCGAATTCCCACTTTATAATCTCCTTTTCAATTATCTACTGGTACTTTGGGATAGGGGCATTTTGGTCTAAGAAAGAGTTAGATTTGAATGGTATGTTTTGTTGGATTGAAGTAAGAGTTGTGCAGGAAAGGAAAGATGCTATAGTCTCTTTCTAAGAGAATACTGTCTACTCTCACTGCCTCCCTATTTAGCTACTGATTCTCATAAAAAATGTGAAATTACAAAATAAGGAACCTTGAATGGACTTTGTTTCTCTCTAATTATGGTTTGAGAGGGACTTTTCTGTCACTATAACTTTGGCACTGAAAATCATGCTCTTCTTCCCTCTACCCTTACATTTATCACTTTTCTGCACCCTAACAGTAACAAAGGGTTAAAAAAGGACCGCTATTCTCTGCAATTATCACTATTTGAAAATTTCATATGACAATATTTAACTAGGTATAAAATTTTAAAAGTCTAATTTATGATGCAATATCCAATAATTTATTGTTGCATTACATATGAGCAGGTCATAAAGGATAAAATATGAATTTTGAAAATAAATATTTCTCAAATATAAAAATATGTTTTCTTAAAATAAAATATAAAAAAAAGAGATGAAAGTCAATAAGGAAAATTGACCAGAATGATATACATCGTATTAAACAAATTGAAACAAAGAGGATAAAAAAATATAAAATGATATTATTTTCTTTAATAATGGTTGCGTTAATTTGTACCAATTATTAGTTCACGCACATGAATCTTGACTATTTTTCAGCTTACCTATTATCTCCTATCAACATATAAAAATATTCCACACAATATTTGATGAAGTAATATTTTTTCTTAGACCGTATGTATAAATAAGAAATCCATTAAAATGTGCATAAATATTTAATTATAAACCTTTAACTAAACAAGCTAGGTCTTAAATGACAAATTGAGAACTCATAAACATTAAATTACACCTTTGTTAACAGGAGTACAAAATAACTATGCCCTCCAATTAGATTAATACAGTAAGTAATAACCTATGTTTGATGAAATTTAAAACTTAACCTCATATATTATTTTTACCTCACATCATTGACTAGTCAGACACATACATATTTCTATAATTTTATGCAATAATTATTATGGCAGTAGAGGACAGGGCTGGTTCATCACCATCTTAATTCTGACCACCTTAGCCAACAAAGATCTTCAAATACTCCAAAAGCAAAATCTAACACTACCAAAAAGCTCAGATAATATATTTAATTCACTGTTTTCTAGCTGTTCCTTTTCTTCTTCTTTTTTTATTTAAAGGAAACACAGCTCACTCAATTCAATGGAATAGTTGTATTGTGCTACAAACTTACAGTATCAATAATCAATATTCAGCACTACTCCTCCATCATTGATTAAAATTCTTAGATTTTGAGTAATTTTGATTTAGTCAGGCTTTAATATAAATATCAAATATCAAAAACAAAAATAAATAAATCAATAGTAATACTTCTTTTGTTTATGTATGGTTATGAATCAACTCATTAAGAATAAATACAAAGTTTAAAATTAAAACCATTTCTAAATATATATATATATAGAAATCTACCGTTCTTTTAAAACAGACTACGAGAAAAATATGTTGAGACGAAAAAAAATAATAAAATCAAGAACCCCTACAAATTTTCATACCACAAGAGATTTCACTTTCACATTATTAGGTTGTTCATCATAGTAGCATGCACCATCCACACTAGACTTATATTCATACAACAAACTTAAGTGCCCAAAAATGTAACAAAAAAAAATAAATCCAAAGTAGAGATGAAGAAATACAATATAGTACAACTAGTGTAGTGATGTTGGGCAAGTACTATACTTGAGATGAATATTTTGGTCATGATGAGAATTAGGAACTATACTTGTTGTTGTTATCCTTTTACCTTGGAACTTTTGTTTGCAAGCATGACATGTGATTTGTGAAAGAGTAAAATTAATTTTCCTTATTGCTTCTTCCTTCAATACTTGTGCCTTTTCTAATTCCATTTGTGCTTGTCTCCTTATTCTCCTTGCATTACCCAATTCTTCCTCCGCCAATTCAATTTCTCTCCTCCCTTTCTTTCTCGCCTCTTCCGCGTACACTTTTTCGGCTAACGCCTGCCTCAACCCCTCTACACCATTTCTCGATCTGTGTGTGTCATTATTATTATTCTCCGACTCATTCTTCTCACTTAGATCCGATGAACCAATAGAGAGTTGAAGATTATGATCATCGCGCGATTTTGACGATACGGAGACATCAAAGGGGCTAGATGGAGATGTTGTTGTAGTAGTAGTAGTCAAGAGTTGGAGCTCTAAATTGTGTTTTTTTATTATGGCATTTGGAGTTTTCATAATAAAATTAGGCCATGGGACTGTATTAGTAGTAGTGATGAGATTATTTGTGTGATCACTTGAAGGGCTAGGACTTGAAGCTGTACGAGAAAGGCAAGGTGCTGATGGTAATTGTATTAAAGATTGTGATTCTGATCGAAGGCTTCCAAAACTACATAAGTCTTGATGCTCTATGAAGCTCTCCACCCTATATTACACAAAATCGAATCGTTTCGTTAAATTTGATGCAGATATGAAAATATAATTAAGTAAATAAAAGTGTACTGTCTAACTCTATAAAAAAAAATTAAAAAAGGTGTTAACTAAACTATAGAATAAATAAATAAACACACATTTAATTAATTTACCTAATGAAAAAGGTTACCCCCACCCTACAAAAAAAAACAAAAAAAGGACTATTTTGATAGGATCAAAGATCTTCATACTTTTTTCAATCAATAAGTAGAATATTTTCTGAAGAAGTCAATGAAGACATTCCTTATAGAAGCATTGAATTAATAAAATAATCATGAGGAAGAAACCCAATACATATTATATTTTATATTAGTTAATAATGAAATAGGATTGAGATGCTAAGTATAACAAAATAGAGAATTTTAGAGTATCAAGAATGACATAAACCTGGTTTTTGGGAGCCACACATAGTATAAAAATAAAATACCCATAGAAGGAAACAACTTCCTCATTTTGCGCTCTTTTGTTTTTCCTTTTCACAAAGCTGGGTCGTTTTGTAAGCGGAATGTGATAAGCAAGTATATTTCATGTGTTGCAATAGCAAATATCTTAAATCAAAAATAAAGTTAATCCTAAATTTTATCTGAATATTATTATCTTTATCCTACGTATCAAACGATACCTCAATTATAAGTTATAACTAATATAAAAGTACTCATCAGTAGGACCAAAACATTAGAGCTAACAATATAGTCATGAATCTATTGCAACAAATAGTTATCTTTTAACTGACCTGGAGAATACGCGACCGCAATCGCAAGAATGACCACGAGTTCCACATGTTTTGAGATGTGCCTTGTAATCAGATTGAACAGCATATCCTTTGTTACATTTCTCACATACCCATTGTTTGTGATTACTATGTTTCCTCCTGAAGTGTTTTTTAATACCAACAAGATCACCAAGAGCATGACAAGGGTCATGATGTAGACAAGTTGGCTCTGGACAAACAAATACTCTTTTTTTAACAATAGGAGTTTCTCTTTTTAGCAATTTCCATGGTACTTTATGCCTTCTTCTATGCATTTGTAAATTTTGATCCCTTTGAAATCCTTGATTACAGATCTCACATATGTATCTATCTGATTCTAATAAAGTTTTTGGTGATAAAGATACCACTTCTGCATCTGGATCTATAAAAACAAAAAATAATTAAATTATTAACAAAGAACAACAACATATCCAGTGAAACCCCACGAATAAGGTCTGAAAGGATAAAATGTACGCAGACGTTACAACTGATGCTAATTAATAAAATTTTGAAGAATTGTACCTGGGGTTCCAGCTGGCCTTCTTTTTCTTTTGTTGTTGTTAATACAATTGTTTCCATTATTCTCTGAGGAAGTCATGAAGGGGTCTGATGAAGAATTAAACATGACTTAAAATGGATTTTTAATTGTGTATAGAAATTAGTGAAAAGGAGAAATTAAAGAGGGTTTCTATATAGGTATCATAAGCTAGCTTTTTTGATCTCTAGAGATATCTTTTTAGACTTTCAGCTTTTTCTCTTCATAGACTTGTTTTAGCTTCACCTTAATAAACTTCTTAATCAATGAAGAAGATTGGGTTGGGCAGAAAAATTAAAATGATTTCTCTTTATAAACTTTGCTTTTCTGCTGAAAATTGGTTTGGTTTGGAGTGGGGTATAGGGGTGGGGGAGTAGTAGTTTGAAAGAGATTTTTTTTTAACGGTGATTTCCGGACTAGTTTTTGCTTATTTTAATTATTATTTCACTAAATATTTGTGTTATGGTGGAGTCATAAATACTAACAAATAACAAATTAAGGAAATTCAAAAATGTCACAATAGAGATTTAAATATATATGTATTTTTTTATTTTTTTTTTGTTTTCCACTCGGTGTCCAGAATTCGTATTGGAGCACCGATTAAATTTGGATCGTGCTCTGCAGCGTCCATTCGGGGGTGGCGCTCCCAACAAGATTTTATCCATGTTCAGGACTCGAACATGAGACCTTTGGTTAAGGGTGGAGCAGTCACCACTACATCACAATCAATATTTGTTAAATATATATGTACTATTTTATATTTTTCTTATATTGAAGGGATTTAAAATTGTATATGTGTATAAAAAATTAATTGACTATAAAATTTTAAATGCAGTTTGAAGTTGTATTTGAAATTTCGAAACACTCAAAATCTTGTATTGAAAATCTAATCTATGATATTACGTGATTATCCATTCTGAGATAATACTCTTGTAAAACATATTTGATTGTATGATTTAGAATAATTTGTCAAATTTGTGTGATTTTGCTAATTTTCTAAATTGGGGATATAAATAATATTTAGAAAAAATATATTCAAAGCTCCAAATTCAACTTTTAAAATTTCAAATAAAGTGAATAATATTTAAATTTTTATGTTCAATATATGCCCACTTAGTTTTCCTACTCATCCCAATTTAAATATATATATATATATATCACCTAATTCTTTTGTGATTTATCTTTACTAGGATGTTTGAGAGGACTCTTAATCAATTAACAAAAATCTCAAACTTCATGTCAAAGACATCACAATTGGACTGAGGACAAAAAAGTCAGATAAATTAGTAAAAAAAAAAGAGGAAGAAAGTAATTTAGTAAAGAAGACAAAAAAACATCACAAAATCACTATTTGAATTCATGTGAAAGCACAGTAAATTTGCATGCATAAATACATGCACAGCAACATTACCAACAGTGCCGTCAGCAGATCCATATATACAATAATGTATTAATACATAATAATAATTAAATCTTTTTATTTTTGTCAGTCATCTTTTTTATGCCCTACAGTATATAAATTGGAAGTATTCCCTTATGAAATTACAAATCAACCCCTCTTATTCATGTCTGCTATTGATGGAGGAACTGCCTACTGTACAATCATTTGAGTTTGAAACTTTGAATAATAATCATTATATTTTAATTTACCTGATATAATTTGATCGAGTACAAAAGTTAAAAAATATGAACTTTACAATGTTTCAAAACGGCTTTTAAAATATTTACACCTTTGTTGACTTTTGTCACATAAGTGGGACTTGATATATATAAAATGTTTGATGATATTAGTCAAATAAAAAAATGTGTCATTTTGACGAATGAATGGGTAAGTTTTTTTATTTTTATGGAAAGACTCTTTTTGGTCAAAACTGAGTTGAGGGGATGGTTACTTTTAGATGATGAAAAAAATTAAAAATGATGAGCATCAATAGAACAGTAAATTGGCAACAGTAGAATTGTCTTTTGCACATAACTTTTGGCTATGCAACTGTTTGGTTTGGTCCACCACACTCTGCAAATATCATATCACCAAACTCATGTTTTGAGTTTAACTAACCTAATTATGGTTTAAAGAAAATTGTGTCATCATACATATATATATATTCTCCATTAAAGTTAAATGTGAAATTTATATTTAAATTGTTTTGTTTCTATATTAGAAAGTATAATATGTTTCGGAATAGACAAAAAAAAAAGTATGTCACATGAATAGAGACGGAAAGAACGTGTTTTAAATTTCGATCTGCCCTCTTTTTCCCCTTTTCAACATTTTAACACATAAAATGTCAATTCTTGGAACCAAATTAAGATCTAAATAGCTTGGCTTCTTCTTGCCCTTTCTACTCTCTTCTTTTTGCAAAGAAGGATCAATCTTGAATTATTTTTCTTTTATAAAGAAAAAAAAAGCAATTATATATGATTCATTCCATCTCTATTTAATTAAATTAAATAAATGTAGTTGGATTTTAGCCATTGAAGTATAAAAATCTTTAGAGGTGTGGGGTTTTGTTGATGCTGAAAGGTAAGACATATATGGTGATTGCCAACACCATTCTATCTTCATATAGGAATATTACAGCTACTTATATGATATATCACACTTCACCCCCCCCCCCCCCCCCCCCCCCCCCCCCCCCCCCCCCCCCCCCCCCCCCCCCCCCCCCCCCCCCCCCCCCCCCCCCCCCCCCCCCCCCCCCCCCCCCCCCCCCCCCCCCCCCCCCCCCCCCCCCCCCCCCCCCCCCCCCCCCCCCCCCCCCCCCCCCCCCCCCCCCCCCCCCCCCCCCCCCCCCCCCCCCCCCCCCCCCCCCCCCCCCCCCCCCCCCCCCCCCCCCCCCCCCCCCCCCCCCCCCCCCCCCCCCCCCCCCCCCCCCCCCCCCCCCCCCCCCCCCCCCCCCCCCCCCCCCCCCCCCCCCCCCCCCCCCCCCCCCCCCCCCCCCCCCCCCCCCCCCCCCCCCCCCCCCCCCCCCCCCCCTTCCGGCCCTTTTAGTGATATTTCACCCGCCCCCCCCCCCCCCTCCCTCCCACACCCCCAATCTTATCTAATAATGATTTTTCTATAGGGTTCTTTTTCCCATTTGATCTTCCAATTATTTCTTTTTTCCTTTGTCCCATATCTTCCTTGCTTTGTTTAACTAGAGGTTTTTATTCGAATCATAAAAATGAAAAACTTTTGAAAAGTGTTAAGGGATTACATGACATAAATTCAAGTTAGTCAGATCAATAGATTTCAAATATCAAATCAAGTAGATATTTATATTGCATTCCTTACTGGTCAGTATAGTTTGATGATTGAGATTCAGTTACTCTAATTTAATCAAAATTCTTTGTTTTAACATTGTTTTAGGGATAACTCGGAACAAAAATTCAGATTAACCGAAACTCGGAAAGTTTAAAAAGGAATAGTATTGCATAGATCAATACTAGGTCCTAGCAGCGTGCACCAATATGGTTACCATCATTATGATTTATGTGCAACAAAAATAGAAGTGTTAAAAGGAGGAAAATAAAACAGAAAAGTAGTAACACAGATCGGAATCTTGTATTTTTATAGAGAGCTCCTCTTTAATTACTTTCTACGTATTTTAATATGTTTAATTAAAACTGTACCTTAGCTTTGTTACTCCATATAGTATTTGAACAGTAAATATTAGGAGATTTAGAAATTTCTTTTTTTTTCGGAAATGAATCTGCGTTAATCACGACTCATGTCATCAGTCATTGAGAATTCGAGGAGATGCAAAGTATATTTTATGTAAACTCTAGCCGTCATACTAATTTGGAAAATTCTTGCTCTAATTATTTTAAGAAAAGAAAATGCGACTAATTAAAAGACTTAAAAAACACGAGCTTAAAGGTATTTGATGTCTCAACATATATATACATCCAAGGGACAGTACGTAAGATATTAATTATTAATTTGATGATTAATTTTAAAAAGGTGATTAGTTTGATAAAAAAATAATTATAGAGGAAGGATGATTAGCAAAGAAATTCTATATTAAGATGTTGCATGTGTGGGAGAATCCAAATTCATATCATTGTCTCCATTCTTTCAGCACACAATAAAATACACTTCACTTTCTTTCACGCTATCTCTTTGTTTATTCAATAACTTTTGCCAAATTTTTTTAATCTTCTTTTTTATTGTCACACCAAACATCAGAAATACGGAATATTTCTTACTATTGAATCCGTTACACTTGAGAAATTAGAGTGTTCAAAATTAACTCTTTTTTTTTTTTTTGTGATTTTTGACATTTTATATGTACTCCATGTTGAAAATATTGAGATCATGTGACTATATGCTACAGCCTCTATTACTATTAAATTTGAATATAGATATTTGGTTTAATTATGATATGACAATTGGATTGTTTGAAAAGATAAACCAGACCAAAAAAAACAAAAACAAGTGGCATCTAATTTGTAGAGGTGCACCCAATAATCATTACATAGTTTAGACTATTGGACTATTTTAAGCTTGTGTTTCACTTCTCACCACATATCTTAATTCATTGATTAGATTTCGTATGGCCATGTTTTATGACAAATTCTCATCCAGAATTCCAAGTATAGGCCCAACTGGCCCATTGAAGTAGAGGGTTCACCTAAAAATATTGGCATTTACCAATTATATACCCATATGCTCTCGGGAGAATATTTTCTCCTTACTAACCAAACACCAGAAAAACACGACAATAGACTGTAAATTCCATCTCTTGACATGCCCTATCGGTCGATTCTAAGCTACAAGTCTTAGGAGATATACGAGGAATTCTCTAAAATGCCAAGGTTGAATGGATTATTCAGTAACAACTCAAACTGAATATCTCTGTTGTTCAGGGAACGAAAGAACGAGTCAATTTTCTGGGAAGAAACATTTACTTAGATGTGAAAGATAGACTGATGAATTCAAGTGAAAATGTTGAATCTTAGTGGCTCATGACAACGAAAGAGAGCTGGATGTGCATAAAGACACTTCTCAGTAGGTAGGACTTCCAAATGAGAAGTATTACCAGAATAAATATGCACATTTTCTGGCAATGGAGAGGCACCTAAGCTGAAGAAAAAATTCTTGTTCAAACTATGCCATAGTTTCTTAATATATCACAAAATCCAGTAACTGTTGGAAATGGATTAAGTTTGTGATAAATGGGCCTTAATCTAAAAGAAGGTCAGGGCAAGTATTTTATACTGTCTATATAAATGGTTACACAAGGGACAAAACAGATATTGGAAACATGGGCTCAAAGTTCTGACTTTATTTCATTAAAGGTTAAGACAGATGCTCTCTTATGCAACACCAGCAACAGCTACACCTCCATCGCGAGTAAATTGGAGGAATCCTCTAAATGGATCCTCAATGTCCATGTTGCTGCATTTGAACCCGTCTTTCTCCAATTTTATAAGAACTCACTAAAAGTCCTCTACATTTCTGTGTGCTTACAAATCTCTAATGAGACTAAAGGACTCCTAATGAACATTTGGCACTAACATAACTAGAACTTAATCCCAACTAGTTATTGGTATAAACTTAAAAGCTAATAACTTGGACCATTTCTCAGATTGTGAACATCCTTACACATAGTCTTATGGCTTATGCTAATCTTCATTGTATCGCTCAAGAGAAACAAAGTAATACAAAAATCTCAAAACAAGAACAGGAATTATGCTAATTTATCGGTCAGTCAAAACACATCCTCATATTTGTTAGGGCTCAATAACAACTTGTTAAAAAACAATTACCATCACAATCTACACCTCAGACAGTGGAGAGACAATACAAGTCACTCTGCTTGATGAAATTGACACATGCATTGAAGGAACTTCCCATTCGAAAAGAACATCAACCAATTAAGATAACAGTCCTTAAAATGACAGGCCAGCCAGAACCCAGGTTTGATAACATTCAACCAGAGTAGTGCAGGACTTAGCCATTTGGTTGATCAAATAGATGGTATTCCCTCATAGGAAGACAGCATCTGGATAATAACAAATATAAGAATGCAAAATTTTCCATTCAAAGATCATCAGTACTAATTGCATAAAAAATGTACCTCCTCTGCAACTTTCATAATCTGCCACTACCATAAGTGTGCTATCTGCGAGAACTACAAAGGTAAACTGAAAGAAAATAAAGAAAATCCCACAGGACAAAATCTGAAGGAGTGCTGCAATGCTTGAATTTCACTGGTTAGAAACTACCTGACAAGCCTCAGTCCAACCCATAGTCAACTATGTACACCAGAAATGCATCATACCTATTTTAAGGACAACTGCTAGCATATCCACCATACATCTATCTGATAATGACAAACTTGTTTGTACCATGCCTTGCCCAGTGTGGCTTCAGATCAATTGGATTAGAAAAGTTATATCCTTCTGAAGCCAGTTTCTCTAGTACCTTTTTAAACGCTCCCAGACTCATCTTCCGACCTGCTATCCTTGAACCACGCCGTTTTACATTCATAGGCAAGGGATATGAAGACAAATTAGTGGTACAGCAAGCTGATTGCCACCCACCACAGCCCCACCTATAACACTGCTGAGCAGCCCCAGTGCATGAGCAGATTGGTATGGGAATTACCGAAATATCCATATTAATACCGTTAATGATGACTTCTGCACTTTTCCTGGGAGCTCTTGCCCGTGGAAGAGATGGGGTAGACTCGTCTTTAGGAGCCCTAGTAGCTTTCTTTGCCTTCTTAGGTTTAGGGGACTTCAGCACTTGGGATTGACCAGCTTCCCTCTTCTTAGCAAGCCCACCTATATTATCCCTTTCTTGGCAAACCTCTTCCACCAGAGGAGCAGTTTCAACTTTCACCAAGTTCGGCTGCTGGTGCATCTGCATAGACTGAGCGGAAGATGTCTCAGGCAAAAACCCATAACCTGGAAGATAAGGGTGGTTTGCAGATAGCACATTGAGATACTTCTCTCTATAGTCTTTTTGATTAACCCACGAATCCCTCATGTACTCCATGGGCATGGGAGACTCTGAGAGCCCACAAACTCGATGATGATGAAATGCACCACCATTAGTCGACGCCATAACTGTAGGATGGTCAGGTTGGTGGGTTTGTTGTTGTTGGTGGTGATTATCGTGAATGTTGCGAAAATGGGGGGGCTTTTCATTCATCGAGGACATGAGTTGCAGGCCCAAATGGCCCTTCGGAACAGTTGGTGTTGGCTCAAAATAGCTCCAATTCCGTATATTCATACCGCCATTTCCATCCATGGCTGCCTGAAATTGATAGCAAAAGGGCTTTAAATTTCAATAAAGACACTATTTTGCAACCCCAGGATGCTAAATATTGCTTATTTCAGTAGAACACCAATGCCACAGCATGCAAGCATCATCGTTTCCAATCCTGCAAAAACCACAAGGGATAATGTTGACCAAATCAAACCGTATAAAAAACACAAGTAACAAAATTACAAAACATCCTATCAATTGCCACAAAACACATAAACGCTCATAATGTCAACACCAAATTAAGCAATGAAAAAGATAACAACACTCTCACCAAATCAAATGCCAAGGTTTAGAAAGAAACACAAGCAATAATACCACAAAAAAAAAAAAAAACAGCACCGTCAGAAAATGAGCGAATAAATTCAATCGATCGTCAATAAAATGCAAAGAAGTTGATAAAAATTTGAACTTTCATATAAAATCAGCAGTGACTAAGTTTTCCAATATAGATCTTAACATAAATTGAGAATATAATAGTTCAAAAATAGAAAATGAGAGAATTCGTAAATGTAACTAGAAAAACAAGAGTACTCACCGGAGGTAAAAGTCGGCTGGTTAGGGTTTGGGACTGTAATCCCCTCTATGGGAATTTGGAAGGGACGCCCTTATTTACTTACAAGAATTTTGATTTTTCTATGAATTATTAATTGCAGAAAATAAAAATAAAAATAAAAACACAGCATGAGTTAAAAAATAATACTAATAAAGGGATAATACATACGAATTAAACTTGCCCACTTTGTGGGATCTTATACCACATGGTGTAATATCAATAATATAATAACATATTCGATATATTTTTATAAGTAGAGTCTGGATATGTATGCAATCTTACTCCTATAAAGCATATTAGAATCAAGTGTCGAAAGGGAATAGAATCGTGAATAAAACATGTTTAAAACAAAAGAAGAATAAAACAACAACGACAATAAATATCACGATAATTGAAATAAAGAAAACAACAAATAATCGAAATTGAAATAATATCAATATGGATGAGATACTAGACAACACTTGACTTACCAACCTTTTATCATAATTCTAGATCTCCATATCTTCCTTCTAGGATCGTGTGATCCTCTATAAGATTGCATGTGTGCCACATCATGTCTAATCACATCTCCACAATACTTCTTCAGTCTACCTCTATCTCTCCGCATACCCACCATTGCAAGTCTTTGACACCTCCTCACTAGAATGCATCTTAGCTTCTTCTCTCTTATGTTGTCCACCATGAAAATCACTCTCACCTTGTCCCGATTTCATTCCTAATCATATATCTCCTAATATTTCCACACATCCATTTGAATATCCTCATTTCCACTACTTTCAGCTTGTAGACGTGCAAGTTCTTGACCGATACCACTTTTTTGTCAACCAAATTTATATTTGGTAGAATTAGAAGGTTTGATTAATATTTTTGGTGGAAATTATTTTTAATCCATCTCCCATTTTATGGATACTAGTTTTAGATTCTCTTTATATGCATGAGGTGAATCAAGTTCAAGAATTACTTATTAATTCAAGTGTAATGTGCTTTTTCTTTTTGTGTCTACACCCTCGATTGAAAAATCAGTATTTTTATGTAGTGTTACTCTTGTGCGTTCGTGGTTTCAGTTAAAGCTCAACATTTTGAGACTTTTTATAGTCGACAAAAATTAACTTCTTTTCTCAGCTTTTAATTATTGACATAGAACTTAAAGAAAAATAATGTTCAATGTGTAATACCCTGTCTATCCTAAAAAATTAATTGGTCTAAATTCATTTTAATAGTAAAGTTGACCATATTTAGTGGTACCTAACTACTTATAACGAACATACAAGCACTACCAAAACTAATAATTTTTCAGATCCGTATTAACTAGTACAATATAATAATAACATCAAATTAATAGCCAAACATTCTACTTTAACCTCCGTCCTCCACATTGAACTTAGCACAAGTAATGGATTTTTAAGTTGTAGGAGCGCCGCCCCAAATGGACCCTAATGGGGGCTCCAAAAAAAATTTGAAACTGAAGAACAACCGTTACAACTAGGTCCATCACTTCAATAAATGGAGAGAAGTCAAATATCCTTCCTAGTGAGATGCTCCACCAATCCCACAAGAAGATTCTAGATAAGCTGACTAAAACTTTCGAGTTTCGACTCCACCATATTATAGAGCTCCACGAAGAAGAAATTTGACAAAAGCAAGGGAAAAGGGGCAGGATAGCAAATAAACAAGGGAGAAGGGACGAATTTACCCCCGAACTTTAATAAATGCTACGTATATGCCCTCTGTTATACTTTGCGTCCATATAAGCCCCTTCCGTCCAATTATAGGTACACATATACCCCTCTCACTAACGGACCCCTAATTGCTTACACGTGTCTTATTCCTATTGAACTACCCGTTTGACCCTTTTTTTTAACCCATAACCCAACTATCCACCCCATAACCCAATACCCACTCAATTTCTTAGAACAAAGTTGGGATCCTCAACCAAGAATTTCAACTCAGCGACTCTTTTGGCGGTGGAGAACCGGACAACCGGAGCTCTTGTCATCCCATCTCTGAGCAAAACGCTGTCGGCGCCACCAGAGACAAAGATAGCCTTGCAACCCCTGTTGGTGCTAGCCACTAAACATCCTTCTGTAGTTGCCATTGGCACTGAGTACTCTCTCCCATCAAGCAACAAAGGCCCAGCAATACCCACCGGTATTTGCACATATCCTACAGGCATCTCACAGCACTGTCCAAGAATAGACTCATAGTCAAATCCCTCCAATGGGAGCCCTTCCAATGACTTCCCTGTAATCCTCTGTAACGCCTCTTTTCGAATCGAAGCAGCTCTCATACAATCACCAAGCTTTGATTCCAACGAATATGATGGTGTTTTACCCTGAACAACAGATTGTATAATCTCCTCGTCATCTTCCGATAATGCGGGCATAATTATTGGCGCAGGCTTCTCCGTTTGGGGCAATTTTTCGAACAGGTGGTGGAGGCACAACGCAGCCAAGAGTAGTGGCAGCAGCACATGGTCCACGGCGGCTATCTTCCTCAATAATAAACTGCTCAGCATTCTCATCCTCAATATCCCATGAATCACTATTCGACCTGGACACAAACGACTGAACAAACCCAATCCCAAAGAAACCCAAAAGATATATAACGGAAGCAATCAATGACACCATAGCTAACAATTCAGAAAGGGTAACCACATGAAGAGGAATAGAATTACGGATCTTCTCACGCCACCTTACGAGAAGAAAATACATAACAGAGAAAAACATGGTGAAAAACAACCCAGTGGTTAGGTACAATGGGAGTGGAAGCGCATCAGATGCTTTAGGAGAAGAAACTTCTTGTTTCAGAGGTTCGCCGGCGGAAGCATCTTTAGATGTGTATAGAGGCTTAACAGGTCACCGGCGAACGTCCACTGTAAATTTAGTTGATTTTCCGGTAGGAACACCGGTGTTTTGCCAAATTTGTACTTTTTGAGTACTTGTGCTCTGTTTTCTGGTGATTGTTGAACTTTGTTCTAAGAAATTGGGTGGATATTGGGTTATGGGGTGGATAGTTGGGTTATGGGTTAAAAAAAAGGGTCAAACGGGTAGTTCAATAGGAATAAGACACGTGTAAGCAATTAGGGGTCCGTTAGTGAGAGGGGTATATGTGTACCTATAATTGGACGGAAGGGGCTTATGTGGACGCAAAGTATAACGGAGGGCATATACGTACCATTTATTAAAGTTCGGGGGTAAATCCGTCCCTTTTCCCAATAAACAAAGTCAATCAGAACGCGTTGTAAAGGTGCGATCACAGATCCTAAAAGTAGCAGGCATCCATGATGCCGAATTAGAAAATTCATTGTTACAATAAAGTTTTACAACCACCATCACAAATTACCATTCTACATGGCATTGTTTGTTTTTCCCTCACTTAGAACACTGTATAAAAGGACTGTAACATACATTTTCTACACTCTCTCGGCTTTATGCAGGACTGCATAAGCGGAAAGCTAACTCCTCATAAGGTTTACGAGCAAAAAACTGTTGGGTTAATTTCTTCCTCGAGAAAGAGATAAAACATTCCTGCAGGAAGTAATAGGAATGGCCAATTAAATATGCTTATGCTGTATTATACTTCTCCTTCACAGCTAAGGCAGCTGCTCTGTACCACGCAGCTGCGGCCATGGCACCTGGGTCAGGAACTGATGCAAGAATATCTCCGGGTACATAGGTTGAACGGCCAGCCTAGAAAACAAACTGATTATGACTCTTACTAAAATAAGAAATTGGCAACCAGATAACACTGATTTAAAGACGGATCAAGACAGATCTACAATTTTTCTGTTATAAGCTTCGCAATTCCACTCAAAATAAAATGAGCATCACCTCCATTCAAAGGAAGACATGTAAAGAAAATTGCTTATCAAAATTCTTGGCAAAGGTTTCCAATAAAAACATTAACAGGGAATTCCTGAAGCAGCCTAGTCCAAATCTCCATGAAAAATTGCAATCTATTATTTATGTCAGAAGTCCGGTAATTACCAAGCTTATCTTTCAAGAAAGGGCAGATTCGTATGAATTTTCACCCAGTAGAACAAAGACTTCAATCATAAATTTTAAATACCTAAAACAATAAATCACATCTTGAACTTACTTTAAGCCTTCTAGAGGTGTCATTTAACAACCCTTCGGTCAAGACATATTCTAAGAGTTCAGACTTGTCATTTCATTTGAAGTAAAACCAGGTACTGATCCAAAATTTTCTATTGATTTGGTAATGAATCCAAATAAACTACAGATATCTTCCCTTATGTGAGACCTATAAAGCCAGATAAATTTGTTGAATCGCTACGTTAATCATTTCTCAACTTTGATACCTTGTTGATTTGAGCCAAATAGTAAAAGGATACAAACACATTTTCATCCTGGATTATTGCTTTAGTCTAATAGGGTGAAGATGCTTAAAGGCGTAACAGTCCCTGAAGAAGAAAGACAAGCATAAGGGTACTTTACAGTTGCTCCATTTTTTAAAGATGCTTAAGCTACAATATTTTTTTGGTGTTGTGTCAAATATTTATGAACCTTTTTAGCGCTAACCACATAACTATGTAACATTTGTGGAAATAAACCATTGTAACACCGTGTGCGCTATTTTCCTTTCAACGCATTAGAAGAAAATACAGCGATGATACCTGCGCCTGCATGTGCTTGGTTGACTCGGCTCCAGCAGATGCTGCCTCAGCAGAAATAATGAAAGCATCCACAGGGTCGTCCCCAGCATTCAACCTCTGATCCCAATGCATAAAATTTCTTGATGAATAAGGTATGTAGGAAAAAACTGCAAATGATGTATCATGAAAAAACATTGACCTCTTTAAGAGCTGACAATGCTGGTATAAGAGCATCTAAAAGTGTACGATAACCAGCACTAGCTCCTCCATATTTACTAACAGCAGCGATAGCAGCTTCAAGTGAATCAGCCCCTGAATCAAAAGAGTAGATTGGTACACAAAGAAATAGTTGGAAGCAACAAAAATCAAGTCTTTACTTTACTGCCAAGGAGTCAACTTACAGTGAAGAGCTGTGACAACCGACTCAGTGTTTTCTTTCAACTTTGCATATGCTGCCTTACAGAATATACT